CCTGCCCCCAGTCAAAGTCTGTCCATTGTTAGTTTTTACATTCAAATTCATGGCGGCATGTTCTTGATATTTCATCACACCTTCAACTTGAAAGAAAATTGTTCTACTTGTATTGTGTCGATCGAAAAATTTATCCTATTTGTATCCAAATTTCTGTATCGTGGTCTGGAGTGTTGACATTTCTTCTGAAGAATATATATTGTTTGAATGTCGTTACAACTTGAAAAATAAATCACTTTAATATTGAAAGATTCGTGATTTCCTGTATTTCTAATTTTTCTTCAGACGTGACTTACGTAAGTCCCGTCTCCCGACAACATTGATTGATAAAGAAATGATACTACTAGGATTATTTCCAGAAAAGATAAGAAAAAATTACATTAAAACTACTTTCTCAAGGAATGGGTAATTTTATTAATAAATATTATTCCCAAAGTGACTCGGACTTAACAATTGAAATATCGATGAATGATTCTTAGAAGGCTAATCTACTATACGAAAGATAATGCTGATGGTCCAGGGGAAATTATATTAGACGACTAGAACATAAAATTAAAATTATAGTTTAAGCATATATATATATATATATATATATATACAGACGTGCCAACCTAGCAAAATTAACATTCAGGAGTTTCCCTAACAAGAATTCAGGAGATTTCAGGAGGGGTAAAAAAAGGTGCATGGTATGCAACATTTGGCACTTCTAAGGAATTTTAAGTAAAAAATTTATTAAATATAAGAATGCAAGAAATTTTACACACTAATAGAGCAATAATTGTTTAAAAATATTAAATGGAAATAAAATAATTAAACACAGATTTAGCAACACAAAACTATATTAGGTAGATACTCTTTAAATAAATACCATTTCCTTAATAAAACATTATTCAAAAACCCGACACTGTAATAAAAATACACAAAAACTTTTAAAAAATAAACAAATTGAATAAGTATTTTATTTTAAAAAACCAATTCAATACTAATGTCTGTACAATAAAGAACCAATTATCCGGGATGCTCGGGACCATCGCTATCCCGGATGTCTTAATTTCCCGGTTTCCTGGATCGACAAAAAAGTGTCGTTAATCGATGTTTTATCAAACCCAAATTACAAGGAAAAAATGTAAACACATTTTAAAGTAAGAGAAAAAAGNCTGAAAAGGTATAGCAAGAGAATATATTAAAAATCCGGAAAAGAAAACAAAGATATAATCTCTTTATCAGCCCACACGATCATATCCGCAAAAAGGAGTGCTTTCTAATATTGTATTAATATAGCCAAAGCAAAATATATCAATACAATAGTGCGAGGAGCACTCAAAAAATTTGAAACGAAATTAGGACACATTAAGTAAAAAATATCACGTATAAAATATACGAAAAAACAAATGAATAATTACCATGAATAAAAACAAATGAGTAATTAGCGCAATAAATAATTACAAAAAAGACTGGAAAAAAATGAAAAAAACTAATTGAATTATAAAAATATCAATAAGTTTTATTTGCTGCGCATAAGCTGCAAGTATACAGAACTCATAAAATAATTTCAAAGAGTAGGAAAAAAACAAAAAATTACAGAATAATGAAGAAAGAAAATTATCTTAAAAAAATTAATTGAAATTTAATAAAATTCGGGAAAAAAAGATATAATCTCTTTATCAGCTCACACGATTATATCCACAAAAGGAGTGCTTACTAATATTGTATGAATACAGCCAAAGCAAAATAATATCAATACAATAGTGTGAGGAGCGCTCAAAAAAAATACTTGAAACAAAATAGAATAGAAAATATTAAGTAATAAATATTACGTAAAAAACAGTATCATTTAAAGTGTAATGAAAATACAGATTAAAATATGAAACGAAATCTATAAAGCGAGTAGCGAATTCAAATGAACTTACATGAAAGGGAAAATTTTCTAGAATGATTTAAAATATTTTCGTAATAAGATTACCAGATTACAAAATATGAAAACAAAAGCACAAATTGTGGTAAAAGCGTAAATAGATGGTTTTTATTTTACAGTGCCTTCTGTAAAATACAGTACAGCGTTTAAATATTGGCAAAATTAAACGCAATTTGATTTCCTTTACTTTCATTTCACTTTCAAAAGTTTGGGGCTTAGTTAGCATCCACGCTAACGCCAGATGCTAATACCAAATAAGGTCCTGTTACAAAATTTTAAAGTTGTTAGAATCCTAACTTTCAAACAAAAGGGATTTGTTCCTGGGAATATATAAAGAAAAAATGATTATTATAAAAATGTTCATTCAAAAAAAGGCATAATCCATAAGTAACTAAGAAAAAAGATAACTTTTTAAAAAGTTCCTAGGAATGTTAATTTTTTTAAATGTCATTGCAAACTTATTAAATTTTTTATGTCTTTTATTGTTATTTAAAATCAAATACTATTTTCAAATTTCAGAGAAAATCTCTGAGCAAACTTTTTCAGGACTGTTCGCACTATTGAGAATCTAGCCCAAATACAGGTGACTGGAAAGGTTAAAAACTGGTTACGAACATTTCTTAAGACAGATGAAATATTTAAAAACTTCTTCATATCATAAATTTTTTTTTACCTTAATGCAATCTAATTCGTAGTATTTTTAACAGATTTAAATACATCAAAGTATGTACAATTTTCAAACTCGTACTCTCACTTTTTTTAAAGAAAAAAATCCAGACCGTGCTGATTCAAAGCAGATCAGATTGCTTGAAAATGCACTGTCACGATAAATAACAAGCAAAATTTTTATATATAAAAAAAATTTTACCGCATTAACCTCCAACTTCTAGACGCTCATGTGTAAAAATGTGTTTCTTAGTCGTATTGTACTAACAATATTTTTTAAGAATAAATAAGTCTTTTTATTAACTTTATCATCACTTAAATCCATTAAGAGTTGATTGCGTGACATTTTAGTTATGTTCAAACTATTTAAAAAGTTGTAGCGAACGAAATACTTGTAGACCAATTTCATGAAACTAAGATTGAAATGTTAATGAACTAGCAGCGGATGAAATCATAAGAATTTGTTATGTGAATGCTGTAATCCATGGTGGATGCGCAAACTTGTAACTTCTATGATGCCCCCAACAAAAAAATTAAACTGCTCTACTTTGTGATGAATTATTCACCCACAAATAAAATTGTGGTAAAAAGAATTTTTTCCTCATTTTTCATTCTCTCCATTTAAATAATCTCTTCACAAATGAAAAATATAAATTAACATACCTGCCAACTCTTCCGGATTTTCCGGAAGATTTTATTTTCATATTTAAAGTGGTAGGAAGTATATACTATTTTTTCTTTTATAAACTTAATTTTTAGATGATTTTGATCACCACTTTTCTAACAAAAATTAAGCATATATATCAATATCATGGTTGTCAACTTAAGTTTTCTCAAATACAACGTATTTGCTTGCTTAAAATTGAAGTTTTAATTCCATTTTAATACCACTGGGAAAAATGATAATGGAAGGGGTTAAAAGTTGGCAGGTATGAATTAAGAATGTAGCTCGAAAAATCTTTGAGCAATAAGTTTTTAATAGCTACAAAAAGGGGTAAGTCTGAAAAAATTGCATTTTTTTAAAATCTCATTTAACTCATTATTGCTTTTTACTGATCACCACTTTTTACAATCTAAGGAGCTCATTCCAACTCCAAAGCGGGAGGGAAAAAATAAAACCTTCCTGAAGGTTTGTAAAAGTTACTCCTTGCAAATTCAGGTAACTTGCACTTTACATTTGTTCTTATGTTTAACTATCACATACCTGCCAACTTTTAATACCTGCCATTATCATTTTTTCCAGTGGTATTAAAATGGAATTAAAACTTCAATTTTATGCAAGCAAATTCGTTGTATATGAGCAAACTTAAGTTGACAACCATAATAGTAACGAATATTAATATATGTGCTTAATTTTTGTAAGAATAGTGGTGATCAAAATCATTTAAAAATTAAATTTATAAAAGAAAAAAATAGTATATATTTACTACCACTTTAAATATGAAAACAAAATCGTCCGGAAAATCCGGAAGAGTTGGCAGGTATGCTATCAGGTATTTTCGTGCCCAAATCTAAATTGTACAAATATCTCGGTGCTCAAAATCATCCTAAATTACATTTACTAAATAAATAAAATGCTGCATAAAATAAACCTTTTGTTGCCACTATAGAAAAATCATCGACCTAAAGGGAGAGGGAAAGCTTGTTTGAAATTAACTACAATCTATAATAGCTACAGTTTTTTATATTTTTTGTAGTGGTAGCGATAAACAGTTATTTTAAAGTAAGATTTACCAAATTGTAAATAGAACTATTTAAAGTAAATATGATTTTAAAAAATTGCTGTTGGAACATTTATTTTTGTATTTACAGCGATGCCAACTGCTCGGATATGCCGAAATAATTAAAAAAAAAACGTTAAACAACTACAAAGTAAATCTTGCAAATATTTGACTATTTTTGCTTGCTTCTGAAAAGGTATAGCAAGAGAAATGTCATTTAAAGAGGTGATTTATAAAAGCCTACGAATTATTTAGAAATAGTGGTGGATAAAATCTACTGAATTGAATTTATTAAACCAAGAATCACAATTGATAAACTACCACTTTAAAATATATATTTGCTGTCCGGAACAAGTTGGCATCTCTGTATTTATATGAAGTGGTGGTCAAAAGCATTAGTAATCTTAGTTATACATAGGTAATGCATTTAGTACACACATTTTATAATCACTCAAATAAAAAAGTCTCTGTTGAAAATCATAAGATTCGGCTGTTGAGTACGAAGAGGGGGTTGCGCGAAATGCATGAAACTTTTGGTGAGAAATTGCGTAATCATTACAGTGAGCAAGTTTTTGTTTTAATATCACGGCTTGCCAATTTTATTGGAAAATGAGGAAATATTGCTTACCTAATTTAAGAATTGAACCAACGGATATCACGATCGGTGATATTGAAATTTTTCGAAGAATCTGAGTCGGACGTTGTTTACGTCGGGATCAGATATTGCGATATGCAATTACTTGTAAGGAATGTATCCATACGATATGCAATTACTTGTAAGGAAGCCTAGCATTGACTTTAAAAGAGCGCGAAGGGGAAAAAAAGATCAAAACAAATAACATCTCTAAAAACAGTGTGAACAAATGGCAAAGTACCGTAAGTTTAGAAACATTTTATTTTTATTTTGTATAGTAAGATGCGTTTTTACTATTTTTTTGCTACAAATACTTTCTTATATCAATGATAATTCTAGAAATATTTTGCTTTTATTAACACGTTGAATGCCACGCTAATTTCACATGGCTTGCTCGTCTGGCCACTCGGTAAATAACTACAAGCTAAATTTGTAACTACAGACAGATTTTGCTAGTTTTAAAAAGTTTTAGCACGACATATCTGAATAAGTGGTGAATTATATATGCCTACGAATTGCTTAAAAATAGTGGTGGATAAAAATCTACTAAATAGAATTTATTAAACCAAGAATCAAAATAATTAAGTAAATTTTTTGCAATTCCATAAAAGAGTGTAAATTTTATAGTTCTATATCATGTTATATACGCTGTCAGCCAGCTGTTTTTCGCCGCCTATGTGAAGGGTCAGTGTCAGCAAGCGGTGGCAGACGCAGCCTAAATGTAATTTCAGTGTCAGCCACCGATGGTTGACGTGGCGCTCAACGTGTTAACAGTAACAATTAAGAATTTAGCCTCTATCTTTCTTTCACATGGCTGTCAACTTTCTACGCTTTTTGTAAAAATTTATTCCAGTATTAGCTAAGTTAATTCTTTAATGTATTTTTTTTATTCATTTAAACTTATTTAACCACGCCGATACAAGTAAATGGTTTAAAAGTTCACATGCAACGCCACTTATTTCAAGCTCTATCGTGGTGGGGCTTTCAAAATGTTGGTAGAATTACCAACCTTAGAATGTTGGTAGAATTACCTTATTTTCTTAAATATATATGTAATTAAATTTAAAACTAGTTCAGTTTGAATACTTGAAACTAAGCGAATTACAAACGAATAAAGTTTAAACTAAGTTTACAAATTTAGAACCACTTTTTTATTCCTGTAAGGATAACCGGTTAAGGTAAAAAAAAAATAATAACCATAAGATAAAAAAGAAAACCATAAGATAAAAAAAAAAATCCATAAATCAGAGGCTCAAACATGCCCATTGAAGTGAAACCAAACTGGTTTCATTCACAGCTTGCTATTGAGATAAGTGACTATCACGCCATATGTATTATTAATAATTGTAGCATACGTATAAGCCTTGTTAACACTGAAAAAATTGAATTATTTTTAGTCGTCAAATTTATATTTAAATATAAATGCCGTGATGAATAAATGCATTTTATAAGAATCTACAAACGTAAATTGAAATGTATTGTATGCTGCATACTTTATGATTACAGAAGACTCAATTTTGAGTTTACGATTATCAGTGTTCAATTCCGTAAGCTTGCGATTTTTAACCTAGTCCGGAAGACAACGGAAGTCCTGGATTAAGCATTAGAACAAACTAGCTATCGTTTAGGACTTTTTTATAGAACAAACCCGCATGGTTTCAACACCACTGGGTTTCAAACCTAGATCAACTCATTGGGGCACGAGTGCTCTATCCCCTACGGCTCACGTTATATGATTTTATTTTATTTTATAACCATCACTGAACAGCCTACCCAATTTTGAGTTTATGACTACCAATGTTCCACTCCCTATTCTAGTAATTTTGAACCCAATCCAGAAGTCAAGGGAACTTCTGGATCAAATATTAGGAGAAATATGACATCGTGGAGGACTTTTTGATGGAACTAAACAGGATTTGCGTTACATGAAGAGGAAGCCCACGAAAACCTCCAATGGTTAGCCTGACTGCAAGGGGACTCTAACCCATGATGCGTTTTCCACTGAGGATGTTTTATATCAGCGCTATGATCGGTGCAATCTGGATGTGGAATTCGTATCAATCAGCCATCGCTGAGATTCGAACATGGGTCACCACGTTGAGAGGATTTAGTTGTCTTGTTTGAGAGATTTTACGCTCTATACCCTAAGCCATCACGACTTTATGTTATGTAATAGTACCATTTCCAAATTTTTTGGGGAGAAAACAGTGTTACGTTTCAGTTTTCGAAGCGATACATTAGGGCATGGGTGCCACAGGTGACTAAAAACGTGAAAAGTGGTAGAAGCTCACTTCATTTTTATTTATTTATCATCTCCTTTATTATTCAATCGTAACTACCACTAAGATTTACATTTCAAATTATTCATATTTCAGCCCAAGACATTCTGAACCATAAATAAACCGAAAAAACATGCTATATAAAGCTGTTATATACAATTTCTTTTAATAAAATTTTAATATTTATTACTCAGAACTTTTTGCTTTTAAAGTCGCCCGTGGCAACCCTGTTTAAGGATACATGTTGTTGTTTTTTTTAATGTTATTCTCAAAGAAAACGACCAATGTGTGTAAACCTATACGTTCATTATCAACGAAAAATAAATAAATTAAACTGTCAACATATTGAAACAAAATCTGTAACTTTCAAAACATAACTAGTCTCAGATTCGGAATGCCACACCCGAATCAGGTAGGATCAAGTACTTGTATAAATGCCAGTGTTATTTTTCACTCTTAAAAAGTGCGCTCTTTTCACTTAACTTTTACAAGTTCACTTTTTATAGTTAAGTCAATGGTGAAAATATGATTGAAACGAAAGCGTGTTTAACCATCACCTCCTACATCAAAAAGCCTCCACACGGTCTTTTATAAGTAGTCTGCGCAGACTGCTTAAAAAGTGAACCAGTTGTGCGCATGAACCCAAAACCTTTTTTATAAAAGTAACTGAGAGAAATTCATCATATAAATTTGAGAATTGAATCTGCAGTGGTTGACAAGTGAATAAGACAAACCAATAATATTCATAAATAAAACAAATTTTTAGTCATATATTTGCTACCACTTTCTTATTTTAATTAGATTTTGTATTAAGTGACTGGTTTGGTCCAGGATTTTATCTATCCTGATGTCATAGCTCACCGCTGTGATTTTCTTTTTATCCCATTTCTTATAGGATACATGACTTATAGTTTACGACCTACTAGAAGCGATGAATCAGTTGGTGGCCCTTCGGGCCAAATACTGAGCTCCAACTAATATCAAGAATCAAGTGGATATCCTTCACAGTGGTCTAATCGGACTACCTGTAAAAAACCGTGTGGAGGCTTTCAGTTACAGGAGGCGTTGGTTTAACACATATCGATATTAGCTCATATAAATATTAACACCGAGTACATTAGTTTTCCTATGAATAGTTTCAGAGATTTGTGTGCTCCCCAGGTTCTTGAGATTTCATACCGTCATTGCATGTAAATTTATTTTTTGATGTCCGGTCAAGGTAGTTAGTTTTGTGAACCACAGGAACAATTTTTGGTTTAAGATTTGAATGCCTTTAGTGATTTGAGTGTTTAATTAATATTAATAGCTTTTATCAGCTTTTATGGCTACACACCAGCTTGTGGAACAGTCCTCAATTTCGTTGACAACGTTTTGCAGTCTTGAAATGGCAAAATCAGAGTTTAAAGATTTTGTCCGTGTCATAGGTCTAGAACGATATTAGATGATAGGAATCTCCAATTCTTAGGAAAATCTTATGTAATCAAAATATACAAGGAGGATACAAGGTTTATTGCCTGCTATACCCCGCATATATATTTCTGACAGTAGAGCTAGATTTATTTAAACCAGGGGGTTCCAACTCACATGAGGCCGGGGGCCGCAATTAAAAACACCATTTAAATGGCGGGCCGCAACTTCATCAAAATCTTATATAGGATTCTTTTATGTTTGAAGGAACATTAAATATCACTGTCAGATTTTCATCAAGTTGTACAAAGCAAAAGTATTGAATTACAAATTAAAATAAGAAGTAAATTTTTAAAAATATTTAATTGCATATTAGAAAATTCTGGCTACAATAACTTTAATTGGGCACCTATGTATTAAACAATTACTGTGCAACAGATATCAAATTGTTAAGATATAAAACTTAAAAGTACTTAAAACCCATATAGATTTTTTACACGAAAATTGTCCGCAATAAAATGACAATATATTTTAGCTCAAGGGCCGCAAAAAAGGCTTCGCGGACCGGATGCGGGCCGCGCTCCTCCAGTTGGTAACCTCTGATTTAGACCCATCAGACACATCATCAGACCTATTGCGATGCACTTTCTCAGTGGTTTGACATAATCAAGACTTCACATTTATTTATTTTAAATTGATCCATTATTTACATCAGACCTTAAAGACTAGGCGAAAGTAACATCGATATCCTTTGTCATTTTTTATCTTTTTTTATATAATTTATCAACCTCACTGACTGTTATGGAATAGGTAAAGGCCATCTTTGGCTCAGGTACCCAACTCCTATTGACAAGTAAAGTGAACTAAAATCTAACGTTGAACATATTAGAAAGCATTCAATGTGTATAAATAAAGCCATTTAAAAAATCCTCTATTTATTTAATGGCGCATTTGGGCTTTTCAATTACAAATGTGTATTATGATTAACCCAACTGTATTAAAACTTTAAATTTGATAGCAAGACTTTTTTGAATTTATAATCAGAAAAAAAAGATAGCCGGAAGGAAAAAAAACTACGTCTTTTGACAAACAACTTAAGAAAATATTTTCCAAAGATTTGGAATGACTATTACTGATATATCTTGTTTGAAATGAATCATAAGTTTGATAAGACTCATTGTTTACATACAAGTTTGTTTGCATATTGAAAATAGAAATGGGCTGAAAGAGTGCTTTTCTATAGTTCAAAAAAAATTATCAATGGCTATAAACTGCTGATAGCAAATCTATTTCGGTTTATTTAAAAAATTATTTCTCAATTTTATTCTTAAAATTCTATTTTTTATTCATGACTAATATGCAACTACGACAAGTTATAGCAATCACGTTAACGGTGCGAATAATTTAAAGTGCGCAAAGTAGGAAAAAAAACCTTAAAACCTAGATAATTTTCGATCTAATGGCCAGATAGTTTATACTAAATAACAATTTTAATTTATGAAAGCATATGGGATACGTTGCGTGATTCTAGTGTAAAGCAACGCGAATAAATCGCA